TTCAAAATTCATACGGTATATAAGAGGTTATAGTCAATATGTTCATACCGATCATTCATACTAATGAAAGTTGAATTATTACGGAAATCAATTTTGAAAAAAATATTTATTCGGATTGTTATCGCACACTATTGAATATTATTTTTGATTTCAACTCTTATTTCTTGAGATGAAATTGAAATTTAATTGTTACCTACTAAAAAATTTTGGCAGATTCATAGAATTCTCGTATGAGGCACTGGCCAGAACGAGCTCACATTTCGGCATGCTAAAACCGGAATGCTTCTACATAGGACTCGTCCCATGTAAGGTCTTGTTTGGTAGTGCGCTACAGTTCGGCATGCTAAAACCGACTGTACTTATACGAGGAATTATACAAAAAAAAGGAGAGAGAAAGGATTCTTGTATGAGGCACTGGCCAAAACGAGCTCACATTTCGGCATGCTAAAACCGAAATGCTTCTACATAGGACTCGTACCATGTGAGGTCTTGTTTGGTAGTGCGCTACAGTTCGGCACGCTAAAACCGTCTGTACTCATACAGGAATGAATTTGGAAACTAACTTTGATTCGAAATCTTATTTTCGTCAGTATGTAAGTATAGTAAAGTTCGACTCTCTTTATATATATTTTTAGAAAAAAGTAGGTACATAATATTTTTGCGATAAACTGAGATACTGAATTCGCTTATTAACAAGTGCTCTGAACTTTCTCACTTTGAAATCATTTTGAATTGGCTGCAAGCCTACAAATATAACTAACATTGAGTCTGTTGATTATTTTTTTGAAAATATTGGTATGAAGCGATAATCATAATAATTGTTTAGAACTTTGAGGGTAGAATTATGTACAAAAAGTGGGAATATGAAGTATTTATATAGGTTATGTAGGTATATCTACAGAACGACAATAAGAGGCTACGATACCATTAATATATGAATCAGAATGGCACAGTTTGCATCTTCAGAAGAAAATTGGAGTACTCAGTTTTTAAAAAAAATTCTACTACAGTAGAGAACGGTCGTAGCAGGGCAAAAAGGACATTAAATTTTCTGTAAATTAGATTCACTTATGACTAATGAAAATAATTCAGAATCATAATTTGACAGACTTGATTTTCAATTTTACTGGCATATTCCCTATTCAGAAGACAAAATGCATTAGCCCTCCTACCGAACGTTGTCAACCGAGTAAACGCTGAAACCAATAATAACCTGATTCAACATGACTTATTTTTTGGATTATTAATTACCGCTATGTGCTTATTCATAGGATATGTTCTGATAAAACTTTTCAAAAATTGGTGCAACGCTCGTAGAAATCAAAGAAATAATAAAAATAATACTTCACATACGAATTCCGCAACCAGAACCACTTCGTCTAATATGGACCAATTCAGCATTGAACTCGACTCGCAAGCATTGAAATTAAAACCAGGCGAGAGCGTTAAATGCATTTTACATAAAATAAACAATGAAGAGAGTGAAAGTAATGATGAATGTTGAAGTGTATGAATGAAGAATGATGACTAGACAAAAAAAAAGATGGACGTAAGAATAAGTTATTTAGAAAGAATGCAAGGTAATTCAAATTGGCAACGAGAATCCAGGGCCCGGACTAGCCTATTTGAATCACTTTTCGTAATGAATTCCACGAATACCTATCTAAATGTATAGGATGCGTGATGCTAGGTACCTAGAAATGGATGAAAACGGAAAAGAATTACTATTAAAAATATGAAGAAGATAAAGAATGATCATGGAATATTTCAATTAAACACAGTCAAAGTATAGAAAAAGTATATTATGTCAAGAATAATAATGCAAGAAACAATGATAAAGCAATGTTAAGAGATAAATATGAAAAGATTGAAGACATGCGCATGTACAGATATGTAATGATGATCGATTAATTTTGTAGATAGATAATTTTTCTGGAAACAGAACATACGTAAATTACTCTTGAATTGTTCAGTAATGCATGTTTCAAATATTATGTGAATTGAGTCTATTCAGAGGAAGAAAAAAAAATGTCATTAAGAAACAGATTTGCGGAAAGAAAAAAAAACAAAAATCGAAATTTTTCATTACAATAAATAAGGTACCAATTAAAAAAAAAAAAAAAAGAGGGATCGGTTAAAACACTGCTCTGAAATTCAACGATTTTGTTAGTGTCAAAACAAACGAAAATTCAAAAACAAAAAAAAAAACAAAACAAAATGGAGTAGCTTTCTGTCAATGTAGGTCATTTTTAGAAGATAAGATAGGATATTCAGCATGCAGGGCAATTTGTAAAAAATATGAATATATATAATAGAGACAATAACTCATTTTGTTTGAATTTCGAATAGATAGTTAGGTAGATATATAGGCTTATAAATAGATTCATATTTTAACTAAGTACTATACAGTATATTCATACAAAGTTTCTCTTGTTTCATGCGAGGCAACACAACAAACGACAACCCTCACTGGCAATACGGAGGACTACCACTGGTTCACTGTTCCATGTTGCACATTTACGAGGTTTTCGAGGACGGTTCAGGAAAGGCAACTACCAACGAAAAGCTGGGAACTGAGTACCGGCTGCTTCATATTAGCAGATATGAAGGATTCGTAAGAGATGCCATTTGGTTTGCTGTTGATCTACATGGGAGGATATACCTGAGGATACAAGTCCACATATATAGAACGAATGTTGCAGACATGGGTGCGGTTAGAGAATCCTCGTTGAGACATTCTGTTGCACCACAGAACTAAGGCTGAATATGGACCTCACTGAAGAAATACTCAATGGACGTGCGATTGCCATATATAGAGTGCCGTCATTGACTGTACCGCGTCCAAAATTCAACGAAAATTTATATTCTGGACCAAGCAGTGCATTATTCAGCTGGGTATCACAAGGATATCCAGGTATGATTCAGGAATTCTCTATGAAACTACTCCTTAACCAAGACTTCTAACCACCATCCCTGTGGTCGGTGGTGGCCAGGCCGTGAGCGTTTCCTGTATACTAGTGTCACAGATTCTAGTGTATACTCTACCCAGCAGACTACACGACGACACCTGACGACACCGTGAGAGCAAGCCCTATAGTTGCTCGTCATATTGATGGAAAACCCAGGTTGATAGTGAACAGGACCGTATTCGGGATAATGAATTATTAGTGCCAGTGACAAAGTTTTTGCCAAATGTTGTGTTGGACTCAATCTTAGTTGGACATTAGAACTTTAATTTCTATGAGTTCCATGTTTTCTGAATAATTTTCTTCATTATATTTTAGATTCATCAGTGGTATTCTAGTAAATTTGATTTTAATTTGTTATTAATTTTTTTTTTCAATGATAAGTTTTCTTCAGGATAGTAGATACATACTTTGTTTCTTAAACTTGACCACTATGTTTTACTGATCATAAGTTTTTTTATCTTTCACTTCTAGGTATGAATGGGGATTTTAAGATTCCTAGGTTTTCATAAAGCGAGGGGCCCGCTTTCAGAGGTGGAGGAAATGTGTCAAGAATGGATAAAAACTATAATTTTATTGAGAATATTTGAAATTCTCATTTCATTCAAGAACAGTACAATAACCTAGTCTAGATCATATTCTTAGAATTATTTAGCTTACAGGATATCAGTAGAGAATTACGATATTCAAAGGAAATTAAAGTTCGGATTTCAATTTTATTATTATACAAGTAGAGTCGCTGACGTGCAGAAACTGCTGGTTTTGGATTTTTCCTAATCGAGGTGAATACACTAGTTTTTATGCTGAATCGATTACCACTACCAAAACCAAGATGAAAAAGTATTAGAGAAAAAACCGGCAGTTGTGGTTCGGACAGTGGACCGTAAAGTCTTTTCAAATATTCTAATAGAAAGTAAATCTCAAACTTTGCATCATGTCTAAACTTCGTGAGTGGCAGTTCCAATCCTCCAACGAAAAGCGAGCCCTTCTGTAAGTACCTTTTTTAAGTATTACTAGTTTTAGTTTTCCTGTTTTGTTTCGATTTGAGTGGATGTATCTTGCTGGATAATTAATGGTCAATTTATTTCCTGCCCTAATTGTTTGTATTCAGAATGAATAAACTTGTGAAGTGGAGTTAATTTATTTAGTTATCATTTTCAAAAAAAAACCTCTTGCAAGCGAGTAAGTCCGAGTTGCGATAGTGGGCGTTAGAGCCACTCGTGACATTATATAGTAAAAAAAAAATGATTATTGAAATGATTGCCAATTTCATGGTTTATTTATAATTAAAATTTATATAAACACATACCAATTATATCAACTCTGGGAGTGCTATTTGAAGATGATGGAGAATGAATATCTTCATACAAAGTATTTTCATCAGTGCTTGATGATTTTAGTTGCTACACTGATTTGGTAGCCACTGGTGAAAGTAAAGCTGAAAGTTACAGTCTAGTCAAATAGAATGTCCACGAAACATTCCATAGAATATTGTTTACTTACAATACTTAGGCAACGGTGGTGGATTTGGTAGTCGACTTAGGAAACAAACTTCTTCCTCGTCACTACTTTCCATTTTTTTTTTCTTGATCTCTTCGAAGAATAATCTCCTTCAGAAAGCACATCTGACCCTTCAGTCTTTCTATTACAAGCCATTCTGGCTTTGAGAAAATGATCTACAAGGTGTTATTCACAGTATAAAGTTATTCAGGATATAATTGCTATAATTCAAGTAATTTGTAATTGTGTAATTGTATAATTATTTTCTGTGTGTATTGAGAATGAAAGATAAGTATCTTACCATATATCATATATATATATAGATCATATCTAGATCCGGCACAACTGATTGTAGAGCTCCTGTTTATTATCAATTTGATCGTGTTCTAGTGGCTCGAAAATTTTCAATTTTTGATCCATGGCATACTTATTTCTGAAATAATCAGTTTTCCATTATAGATATAATTTTGTGTTCCAATTGACTAAGAAACAATGCATAATATCTATTCTAGTGAATAAGTGCTAAGAAAAACAATGTCACGGTGCGGTTCTTGTGAGACTTCTGTGCAAAGAAAGCAATCAGTGTTTTGCAGTAGGCCGTGTAAAAAATGCTTCCACGCTGGTTGTGTGGATGTACCCAGTGAGTTACCTACGCATCTGCTCGCCGTTCAGGGATTGAGATGGTATTGCTCTATTTGCAGAACCATTGAAAATAAGTTCGATGACAAGAAATTGCAAGATATCTTCGACAAACGGTGTGCTGCTTTGTTCGAAGATTTCTCAGTTAAATTTGAATCTCTAAAGACTGAATTTCTCAATTCTGCTTTGGAAAAAATTTCCGACTTCCCCACTACTTCTGAAGAAAATAATGCCTCAACTACACCAACATTTGCTGAAAAGGTGATTCATGGACCAAAGCAAAAAATAATTGTGAAGCCCAAAAATCCGCAGGAAACTTCCCGTACCAAACAAGACCTTCTTACTTCCGTTAATCCAGTTGATCATGTCATTAAATTCGAGGAAGTAAGGCATATAAAAGATGGTGGAATGTTATTCCAATGCAGCCAATCTGCCGAAGCATCCAAGCTGGAAAAAGTTATGCATGAAAAACTGTCTTATAACTATAATGTGCATATCCTGAAAAGTCTGCATCCTCAAATCAGAGTTGTTGGTTATACGGAGAACCTTGATGAAGAAAGTTTACTACAGTACATACTGAAGCAAAATGATACAATTTTCGGAACAAATTCTGATTGTAAAGTTGTTCGCACTGGAGCAACCAATAAGAACAAAGCAATTTTGCAAGCTACATTGCAGGTAGATATGTCATCCTATAAAAAACTGATCAATCAAGGTCACATTCTCATTGGATTTGATAGTTGTTCGGTATTCGATGCTACACATGTTCCTCGTTGTTTCAAATGTAACTCATTCTTTCATAACTCAAAATCTTGTAGAAATGAAATTTGTTGTGCGCACACGACCTGAAAGATTGTCAGAAAGATACTCCTCATCAATGCATCAATTGCATAAATCTCAATAAAAACCAGGATGCTGGCTCTAAGGTGAATGTAAATCATGCAGTTTGGGATTATAATAATTGTTCTGCCTATAAAAAAGCAGTGGAAAAATTGAGGAATGATCTTTTCGGTCCAACCTGTAAATAGCAACCAACGGATAGTTCACTATCCTTATCGAATATATATTCTATTTCTGCCACACCCCTTATCTCCAATTTTTCTCTATATTATTAAAATATGCGCGGACTGAGAACCAAAACTACAGATCTTTTAAACTCTAGTACAGCGAGCAATTACAGCTGCATAGCAATTACCGAAACTTGGCTTGAACCGAGCGTAAGTAGCGCGGAATTATTCGACTTGAATCGTTTCACAGTTTTTCGTTGTGATCGCGATTTTGCCAATACCGACCGTTCTAGAGGTGGTGGAGTCGCATTGGCTATAGATTCGACTGTCAAGTCGATTGACTTGAATCTGAAAGCATCGTCAGACATTAGCGATCTGCATATAATAGATATTTTGGGGGTAAAACTGTCAATTGGATTTCGAACATATCATGTCATCGTCTTATATATCCCACCTAGTACATCACCAGATATTTATGATCATCTCTTTGAGATATTGAGTACTCTTGATTTTATTCACAGCGGCAATGTTATGATTATTGGAGATTTCAACATAAGTGCATACTCTGATTATCTGATTAGTGGTCAAAAAAATGCGCTTATCTCAACTATTTTGAATTTTTGTAGCTTTATCAACCTTGATCAATACAACCTAGTAAAAAATGCAAACGACCGTATCCTTGACCTAGTCTTTGCTAATTTCAAATGCACAGTACAGTCTGCCCCTGATGTTCTTTTGAAGGAAGACACACATCATCCCTCTCTGCTCATTTTCTTTGATGTATGCAGAGAAAAACTCAACAAAGTCAACGTGAATAATTTTTACTACAATTATAAGAAAGCCGACCTGGTCGCCCTTTATCAAAATATTGCAAACGTGGATTGGTCTTTTCTCAATGCCATTACTGATGTCGATTATGCATTTGAAAAATTCTACGAGAAAATGTATTCCATTATTAATATGGTTGTTCCGCAAGGGAGGGTGAACCAAAGGTCATACCCCCCTTGGTACACCAGTAATATTATAAAATGTATCAGGCTGAAGTATAACGCATGGAAAAAGTATAAAAATACTAATGATCCACTTGCACTCGAAGAATTCTCATCATTGAGAAGGCGCTTGAAATATGATATCGAAATAAATCACACACAGTATTGTCGAGAGATTGAGAGAAATATAAGCAATGACCCGAAAAAATTCTGGCAGTACGTTAAAAATAAAAGGACTTGTTATTCATTACCCAATGCAATGAACTATGAGAATGGAAACTGTGATGATCCGAAAAGCATTGCGAATGCATTTACAGACTTCTTTCAAGGCTCATATTCTCCTGTTAATGCAAATAATTCCTTTGCGCAGCAAGATCTAGGTGATGATTGCCTCAGAATCAAAAACCTCTCTGAAAAAGGAGTGGCATTCGCTTTAAAGAAGCTGAAACCAAGAAATACAATGGGCCCTGATAAAATTCCTGCATTTTTGCTACGCGATTGTGCTACAGTTCTTGCGGAACCTTTAACAAAGCTTTTCAATCTGTCACTCTCTTCCAAGACTTTTCCAATGTCATTAAAATAAGCAAAACTTGTACCAGTGCATAAAAAGGGAGATAAACACGATGTCCTAAATTACAGACCTATCACAATAATAAACAATTTCTCGAAAGTGTTCGAAATAGTGATTCACCAGCCAATTTTCTATCATGTTAAGAACCAAATTACAGAATCTCAACATGGTTTCATGAGAGGAAGATCAACTTCAACAAATTTATTCTGCTTAGCACAAAGTATATGTAATGCATTTGATGAGGATGCACAAGTGGATGTTATCTACACAGACTTCTCTAAGGCTTTCGACAAACTTGATCATTTTCTTCTTCTTAGTAAATTACATAAATTTCAGCTGTCGCTTGATGTACTTGATTTTTTATCATCCTATTTAATTAACCGATACCAATTTGTTGACTGCAGTGGACATAAGTCTGTGGAGTTTTCACCCACTTCGGGAGTCCCTCAGGGATCCGTATTAGGGCCATTACTTTTCATCATATTCGTCAATGATATAATACATGACATCAATGCGGATTGCCTGATATATGCAGATGATCTGAAATTATTCACCAGAATCACAGAACATAATGATTGTCTTTCTCTTCAGGAAGACCTGACAAAAATTAAGGACTGGTGTACACGAAATCGCCTGCTACTGAATGTTTCTAAATGTTGCATCAATTCATTTTCCCTGAAACGCACTGTTACGCACTTCGATTACAATATCAACAACACTGCTTTACCCAGAACCTCTACTATACGTGACCTTGGTGTAACATTTGACCAGAAATTATCTTTTGCAGATCATATCCGACGAATCACGAAGGAGTCATTCAAGGCATTAGGATTTGTTATTCGAAATTCAGCTAACTTCAGAGATATCAGTACATATAAACAACTTTTTCTATCATATGTTAGGTCAAAATTAGAATATGCCTCTGTTGTTTGGTCTTCGCATCATATCACTCATATAGAAACATTGGAGAAAGTTCAAAGGCGATTTCTGAAGTTTCTTGCTTCTAAAGAAGATGGGGCTTATCCTCACAATGGATATCCTGAGGTTAAACTCACTCGGAGGTTTGATATTAACCTTTTAGTAAATCGCAGAATGATTGCACAACAGGTGTTTCTGTGGAAAATACTCCATGGGCACACTGATTGTGCAAATATTCTTCACATGCTTGATTTTCACATTCCCAGGCTGACAAGTAGACAACATATTTCATTCCATCTACCGATTCCGCGCTTGAATACGATGAAATTTTCACCACTGCATACCATATGCAAGATACATGACGAGCATGTATCGCATCAAATAGACATATTCTCCTGTAGTGTGGCATCAATAAAAAAGTTAAATTTTGGATAAAATTTTCAAATTCTTGATAACTCTCAACTTTGTATCGTCATCAATATTTCATCTCAAACATTTGTACTTGTTATATTGTTGAATATTATGTACTCATTATCCCTACTCTGTAATTGGATGTATATCTGTTGAGTAGTGTAAATAAAAAAAAAATATCTTCTTCGTATTATTGGGAAATCTGATTTCAAATATCTCCCAGTTTGTAGTAGGTTCAGCACAATTTACTATCATCGAATTCAACTTCAGTCCCTTCACTGCGGGCCAATAGGCCAAATTTCCATCACCCCCTAAGAGCCACTTCAGAGGAATGGTTTCAATAGAATTTTTTTCAATGAATATCACAACAGTCCACATGATTGTCCTTTTATATACATATATGTAGTGTGTCCCTGGACCAGTGGGACAGTTGAATATCTCCTGAACCAATAGGAATTTTCAAAATATTATAATTCCACATCATATCGCATCATGAGTGCTAACTTCAGGAATGACTAAATTTCATACGAGGGGCGCAAGAACGGCTCACAAAATCTAACATCCATTTTTTCAAATGGGACACCCCATATATTTCAATATATCTGAATTTTCATTCCTTTAGGCTAATCATCAGTTTTTTATTTTTGAAAATCCGACAAGGCGTTGCCAAGTTATACCAGTATTTCATGAAATGCAGACATTTTTTTTATAGACAAACCCATTATTCATACTACTAAGAATTTATGGAATCATTCAAGACTGTTGGTAGTCGGTGGCATATTCTATCATATGAAATACTCATCTTCTTCGAAAGTTATACAGGGTGGTCAGAAATATGATATGATTTTCACGAAATTCAAACTTTCTTCACATCAATTTTTCAAATAGTGCACCCTACAATATGTATGATTTTATATCCCATTGGTGGTTTGATTGCTTATGGTCAATAGTTGTGGAAAAGAGATGTGAATTTCATCATCAGCAAATGCAAATAAAAAAAATGCAGTAAACTATTTATTCAACTGTACTCAACTACTAAAAAAGCAGTCCCAACAAGAAAAAACTGACTGGATATAAATGTTCGAATTGCCTTCCGTTTGCTGCAAGGCACATTTCAAAATTTTTCATTACATGATTTCTTGTAACGTTCTCCAACATTCTCGGTGTTATACTTTGACGAACCCTCAAAATTCGATTTTGCAAATCCTCCAGATTCGAATCTTCTGTAGTAGTCCATGCTCAAAGTGGAGTGGAATGATATCAATAGAGAAAGAAACCCAAAGTCGTCTCCACAATATTTAATTTATAATCTAGCAGTCAATCCTGTTTCATTGGTAGATACATGTTTCGGCCATTCAAATGGCCATCTTCAGTCAAAAGAATACAACAAAGTGCATGTGGAAATACTTCAATGCATCATGAAGGCGAAAAAATTATTTTGTTATTACTAAATCATTATTTATTATTTAAATTTGATAAAATGGATGTATGAGGAATTGGGAGGAAGGCAAAAAGCCCAATCCCCCAAAAGGAAAGTTGAATACTTCATAGGACGCTGAAGAAGCTCTCTTCGATTCGATTGTTGAGTAGAATAGACCTCTGATTTCAGATACCCCTATAGGAAAAAGTCTAAGGGGGTCAAGTCTGGCGAACGAGCTGGCCATTTTATTCGTCCGTTTGTTCCGAGCCATCTTCGATGAAAAAGAGCGTTCAATTGGTCTGTCACGATCCCAGCGTTATGAGGCGGCGCTCCATCCTGCTGAAAGAACATTTCTCTGAGGTGTTCAAGGGGGACCTCATCAAGATGATAACTGAACTCATTTTGAAGGAAACGAAGGTATCTTCCACTATTTAGAGTACCCTGATAAAAATATGGTCCAATAAAATTATTCTTGAGGATTCCACACCAAACATTTACTCCTCAAACCTCCTGAAAATTGGTTTCTCGAACCC